TTTTTTTTGTCCCCGTTTTTTAATTGTGCCCCTTGTGTAAACTACACACAAATAGGCGCAACATGGCGACGTTTAAATCAATATACGAAGACTCACTCAAGGGGAAAGGAGGAAATATCGGACTTGAGAGAGTTTTGGGGAGAGTATTTGATGAATTGATATCAGAATTTAAGGCCAAGTTTATTAAAAAAATATCCTTCCTTATTCACGAAGTGAAGCATAGTGGTTCCTCTTTGGAAGTTGCCAAAGGGGGGGCCCACTATAAACGGGAGAAATATGAAAGCAGACAGAAGGAGCGGGAGGGAGGAAAAACACACACTTCTGATACATTGAGCGTTTACTTAAGCAGCTTCACAGATTCAAAGAGGAAGAGTTTGTTCGAAAAAATAAAGAAAGAGATTGACGTCCAGGGGGCCGACCATGTCACCGAGAGGACACTCGACAGGAAGAGATTGATCACAAACGGATTCACCACTTTAGGGGAACGAAAGATATACGACGCGAACGAAAAAGTGAAACTTGAGGATCACGGGAAGAAAAAAATCGACGAGGTGAGTCTGCTGGATAGGAAGAATAGCACAGTGAGTAGCGCACGAAATGAGCTCTCCGATATGCATAGCGAAGCGGGGAGTCGAAAGTCGGGCAGGAGTGCGCGCACGAGGGACGCAGCTGGGGATGGGGACGCCAAGGGGTTTGAGCAGTTGGGGAAGTTCGACGGGGTCGAGAAGCGGAAAAGATTGGAGGCGTCGGATCAGCTGAGCATGTCGGACATGTCTGAGAGGTCTCACAAGTCGCGCACCTCACACAAGTCAAGGACGTCACGGGTGTCTCGTGCTTCCCGCGCGTCGTGCACTTCTCGTACATCGCGCAAGAGCAACCGTCCCAGGGAAGACCTTTGCACGCCAAACGAAGAGAGCAACAAAAGTCAGAAAAGTGAGAAAAATGAGAAATGTGAGAAAGATGCTTACGCGAACATCATCAGTAAGTACACCGTTAAACGGTTGTTCTCTAATAGACTGTACACCGATGAGCTGAGTGACACCCATTGTGGCAGTGATGAACGGAGAGCAGACACAGTTCGCAGTGTCCACATGGACAAAGCGAGGAGATACAGGCACGCGGAAGGTGGCGGCGATGCAAGTGGAAGCGCTGTAAGGGGGGAGGCCCCATCAAACATAAGTAAAGAATGGACGAACCGGGAGGACAAAAATTACAAAATTGTGAAGAGAGATTTTGACGAGCGTTCGAAGAGGAGTGCCAAATCGAAGGCGAACTCGTTGGGGACGGGAGATGACCCTCTTGAGTTCCTCATCGCAGCAGAGGCTAAGGAAAGGAAAAAATTGCAGGAGACAAGGGGAAGGTCAAATGGGAGCGTCAATATGCAGGACAAACTGGAGGTGAAATCGCACAAGGGGGAGCCTAGCAACGTCGAAAAAAGTGAGCAGTTATTTTATGAAGTCATTAGAGGGAAAAGACGTAAACATCTTAAAGGCTTCGAATGCGAAGATTGCAAATCGTTTTATGAGGAACTCTGTTGGGATGACTCCGATGGGGGGAAAAAGTACAAACGGGGTGCGAAACACCGACCATGTGACAGGCACGGAGCCAGCAAACCTGCCCAGAACGGACTTCTACATAAAAAGGAGGACAGAGGAAATAAGCCTGCAGGAGACAATTACACAAGTCGCCTTAGCGAATATGTCAATGGGAACTACACGAGTGGCACACAACCCCATTCGGTTAAGTCATTTGGCGACTTGGCGTCGATAAGGAGCGCAAGATATTTGAAGAGTGCTGAGCAAAGTGTCGACATGGGCTCCGGGAAGTACGCGGAAAAGTGCATTGACAAGTTTATGGCTAAGTTTGGGGTGAAGGAAGAGGATAACGACAGCTTGGTTAAGATGGACCAAGTGCAGGAGGAGGAGTTTTACGAAGTCGAGGCGGAAGAGGCGGAAGGGGCGGAAGGGGCGGAAGAGGCCGAAGAGACGGAAGACGCCAAAGAGAGACGGAAAGAAGATAAGAAAAAAAAACTAATTCAGTCTTTTTCGCGCCACAGGTATCATAGCAAAGTTAATGATTCGCCAAAAAATTTCTGGAGCTTCGATTTTTTTAAATAAAAAAAAAAATGGTCGGAGAGATTGCCTCATTTGTTCACCAACCGATGGACAGCTTTTCCTTGCACGGCCGGAGCGGAACCGTTGCTATGCCGCTCGTTGCAGCGCCGGTTCCGTTGGCCAATTCGGCTGCCCGATCCAGCGCTCCACCCACTGTTCGTTTGTCCGCCCCTCCCGGGAGCACACACGAGGACGCGCGGTGCGCCTTTGTCATTTTTTCAATTCATGTTAGCCTCTCGCCGGAAGGCGTCCTGGGCTTGTTTCGCCACTAGCATGAAGGCCTTTCTGCGCGATATTAGTAGACCATTCGTTTCACGTGGCGCGCGTCCTGAAGGAATTTTTTGTTCTCCTTTTTTGCGTCCCCTCGAGAGCGGCATTTTGGGGTGCCCCCATTTTGGCGTACGGCCCCCCTGACACACGACCTGCATTATTTTTTTGGTGAAGCAGGATGCGCATTTTAGCAATTTCATGCGGAATGCGTTTTTTTTTTTTTTTTTTTTGTCATTATCGCGATTGTTGCGTTGATTGTTGTCGTCATTGTCGTCATTGTTGTCATTGCTGTTATTGCCGCTGTCGCTGCTATTGACCTGTCGTCATCGCCATCGTTGGCGTTTCAGGTTATGCGAACACGTTGAGGGCGCATCTCGCACGTGCGCCGTGGCCGACGGAGTTGCTACTTCAAAATAAAGCGTCGTAGAGAGTCGCTGAAAGAACAGTTCGCACCCAGTCGCGGCTGGCTGTTCTGTGCCTTACTTTGATGGTGGAATTGGGGGAGGAGACATGCACATAAGTGTACACGAACGTATATGTCTATGTGTATATATGCGCGTGCGCGCGCCTGGTGAATCACTTAATGAGTCGGGGGAAACAAAAAACAGAAGGAAGTTCCAGTCCAACCGATCACTCTCCTGTTGTTTAACAGGGCAAGTGCAACAGTCACACTAGCAATTCGGCATAGTGTGTTGTGCAGCTGGGGGGGGGAGCGCATGCCGCACATTCACTCGCAGACGTGTGCGCATAAACATATCAGCATGTAACGTATCTGCGGAGATGGACTTCCTCGTATGTTTCCATATGTACACATACGAATGTGTGCAAATTTGAATTCCCTAAATGTTCGCTCTATAATAGCCATACCTTCATCATCCAATCGCTCATTTTTTTTTTTTTTTTCTTCTTTTGACCCATCTTGGAGAGGTGGACAAAAGCGATAGATGTCACGTTTGTGAAGTTAAAAAATTAAAGAAAAATTCGCAATGCCGCTTATGGCGCGTTTGCAATGGCTTCGTAACACTTTTGCGATGATTTCCCTTTTCTGTTTCGCTTTAAATAAAAGAATTGAGATTTTTTTTTTTTAATTCCTTCAAAGTAGCGAAACGGACGTTGCTAGCCGTTACGTGAAGCTGCCTAGAAGAGTTTGCAGCGCGAGACTTTTCAACGCCAGCCTTCTCAATAGCAACCGTTTCAACGCCAACCATTTCAACGAAGAACTTTGTGCTTTGCCAAGGGCCTGGCAAGTCGTGCGCAGCGTTGTTCTGTGGGCCTACCAAGGCGAGGCGATTAACGCGGGTAAATAGGCGTGCAAGTATGGTCTTACACACCCTCGTCCGTATGCCCGCTTCAGCAGACACGCATCTACATCACCCCATCGAAAGACACACGAATGCACAGCTCAGTCGGAGGCAGAAGAAAGAAAACGTAATACACCGTGATAGACCGTGCCAGACGCGCCATTTCAAACAGCGCGCTCTACGCGGTAACTAGCTTTGCGGTGCCCCATTAAGCTCAATGAAGTTTTTCTCGCCTGCTAATCATTTGTGATGTCGCGGTGGGTATATGCTACTCCGCTGAGCTTACATGTCCCTATGTAATCCTTTTTTTGTTCTTTTTTTTGGTCTACTTTTTATACTCCACTAAATCGCAATTGGTGACAAGCACATCTTAGCCACCTCCGCTTTAACGCATTGGTGAGGGTGTTCCCTCGAATCAGCGGACTTCACCATTGCGCGCAAACATGAATGACCAATACCCGGGGAACTCGGAAAAGAGGAAGAAGGCCAAGGAGAAGAAGAAGGTAAGCACGAAAAAAAAAAAGGGGATTTATCGGGGGACCCACATGTCCGTCCAAATGGGCGAAGCGCTTAGAGAGTTATTCCACCTCGACGTAATGCTATCCAGATTAGGTGCCACATGGCCACGTCGCTAGATGGTTGCGTCATTCTTTTCTCTCCAGAACGACGAAGAAATCAAAGAGGTTAAAGAGATCAATGAAGGAATTAACTATTCACTGGTCAGCTAGCCAAAAGGGGGAACAACAGAAAGGGTGACTCCACCCCCCAAGAAAAAAAATAGGCATGTTCCATTTTGTTCTGCTTGTTGTAAAATTATGGATAACTCGTGCAGTTGGTTAAGTCTAACCGTTTCGTGAATACGATTCATTTTTTTTTTTTTTTTTTTCTCCCGTCACAAATTGCAGATAAATGACTACCACGATAGTAACTTCAAAAAAAATTTCTACATTAAGAGCATACGAACCGATGGCAACTGCCTGTTTAGGGCTGTATCAGATCAGCTGTACAACAATGACGATAACTACAAGGAGATAAGGAAGCTAGTGGTAAGTCTGTGGCTGTTCTACGGTCCGGCGAGTGGTTGGCTAGCTGCCAAACGGATTATCCACTTCGGTCATTCCGATTGAGGGATGGAGCGAGCGCAGCTGAACGATAAGGAGGGGAAAATAATTTGAGGAAGGAGAGGAAGCATGAGGAGTGGCATCATATGGGGACGAAGCAGACGAGATGATTTCCATCCATTTGTATCTACCGTATTTCTTCCATCCCAGGTGGAGCATCTACTAAGGAACGAGGAGAAGTACCAGCACTTCATCGAGTATGATGAAAGTTACAAGTCCTACATAGAGAGGTACGTCCCGGGAGGTGGTAGGAATGGAGTCAGCGATTCGATGCGTTGTGTGTTTGGCGTTATGGGTGAGGCGTGTTGGCGCGTATGACGTCTTCGGCATGTCCAATCAGAATGAGGCCTTATCGCTATCCTTATCGCTCCCCTTCTACACTCCTGCGACGCATTACCTTCCTCTCAGAATAAGTTTGGATGGGACGTGGGGCGGCCAGCTGGAGCTTCAAGCAGTGGGCGAGCTGTTCACCGTAAGAACTGAGGGGAAAGAAAAACGCACCAAGAATATGCACATAAACGTGTGAGTATGTGTAGAGAGGATTCTTTGTATGTCTTGACGAGGACAGTCATGCCCCTTGTGATGCGAGCTAAGCGAAAGACAAGTGGTGTGCATCCTGTGTGAGGCCGTCCGTACATTCAATCCTGTCTACAGTATGAAGTTATACTCTCTTATTATCTGCGGCGTATGCAAGAAAATGCGATGAACTCTTTCCACGTGCTCCGGACTATTTCTATGAACTTTTGTCCAGGTGAACATCCTGATCTACCAAGAAAACGGATGCATCCTGGAGATCAAAAATCACAGCGATGATAAGAAGTGCATCCAGTTGCATTACGCTTCCAGTGTAAGAGAAGAGAAGTCCCATGGGGCGAGGGCGCCGTGAATATATATATGTAAATCCACTCGTGTGTTTGCCCTGCAGTTATCGCTGCGCGAAGGGTGTCACCTGCACGCTGATTATTCCATTTACCACCCCGCAGGAGCACTACAGCAGCGTGCGGTTTAAAAACAGGTCCCTGGAAAACCAGCTCAAGTCAATCGTGGAGCTCCGCGAAATAGTAACCGAGAAAAAAAAAAAAAAAAAAAAAAAAGTGAATACGAAGGAGAATAAAAATGACATTGGGCCATGCCGTGGAGAATTCCCCTGGAGGGAAGAGACATCGCCCCCATTAGCAGGGCACATACAGACGCACCATGTGTGTCACTTTTTATTTTCCATTCTCCCCGTCCCCATTCTTTGCACAGCTAAACAACAAGGACGATAACGAGTCCACCAAGACGTTTTACGAAACCACGGACAACGAGCTGACCGACGACAACGAAGATGACCTGTCTGTCAATATCGGCAACGAAAATAATAACGTCGGAGAGTGGATTGACGAGGAGTTCACATTTAACAGCTCAATGGAGGAGGACTATCTACAGTATGAATACCCTCACGAGAACAATCGAAGCAACATTTTCCCCCTGAGTGATGATGAAACAGAGCCTTGCTTATTCGACATCCTGCAGAATATACATAACGGTATTAAAAGGAAAGGCGTCAGGAGTAGAAGCATGCCAACTATTAATGAGAAATTTCTTTATTTCTTCGCCAAAAATCAAGTCAATGAGAGCATGGACAGTGACAGCACCATAGATGTGCTGAATGAGAAGAAGGGATTCGATATGAGGAAGCCCAAAAAGAACGAAAAGAGGAAGTTGAATTTTCTGAAGTATAACTATATTGGTCAGAGGCCCGACGATTTGCTGACCGAGTACGTGTCCGCCGCGGGGACGACAGGGACTCTTATTGGGGCCTCAGGTGGCAGTGCCGCCGCCCCTATCAGCGGGGATGAGAACAAAACAATCCGCATCTGCTACAACAAGACGTTTTACAAATACCTGTGCATGTCCAAAATGGTCGAAGTGGAGGATAAGCAGCGGGAGGAGCAGGTGGGCAGGACGGTCGATGTCCTCAACGGCCACTACGTGTGTGGCAAGGGGAGAGACGAGGCATACAGAAGAGCGGCTCGGGGGAAAGAGGAACAAGCGAAAGAAGCACCAACGAAGGAAGCACCGACGAAGGATGCACAAGCGAAATCCTATGAGAGAAACGAGGCCAACCGGAGTGGGTCCCCAACAGGACAGCCGCCTATCCCCCTGAATCGCTTGCACAGTGCAGGTAGACGGGGATACATTTCGAACTACGAATTGGGGAACAACTTTAGCAGGGCAAAGAAAAAAGAGTTTAACGATTTTTTAAATCTTTACAGCGAAAAAATTTCGTACAGCAGGAACTCCTTCTGCAAGAGTATGTCCACCGACTGTAAGTCGAGTCATGAGGCGGCTGGAGAGGGGCATGCAGAGGGGGGTGGAGAGGGCATGGCCCCGATCAGTGAGCAAGCCAATTCTGAGTACCTAAATTATGAATACGACAGAAGCTTATCGATGAACGAGACATCCAGCAGCAATGAAGAAGTCACCGCTCCTTCATTCTACTTCGATAAGGACTCCACTAGCTTCGAATTTCGACCCGATGTGCATGACAAGGGAGTTCAGGGAAATTGTTTGGCAACAGGGGATGATGAGGCCAACAAATGTGTCCTCCATCAGAATGAAGAAAGGAAGAAAATCCTTTGGAATTTTACGAGGAAGCCTCAGGACATCCTTCACCTAATAATTGATGAGGAGTATGTCCTAAGCATGGACAGCAATTTGTTGTGTTCCCCTATTAGCAATAAGCACGTGGGGCGAGGAAGTTGGCATAAGAAGAGGGGGGTCACCCAACAGCAGGAAGTACTATCACAGATGAGTGAACGGGGACGAGGCAAAGTATCATACCGTCTTGCCAGCCCTTGTGTGTTGAACTCGCGGGCGTCTTTTTCCGGTTCGAAGGCCCGAGGAGCGGGGACAACTAGCCAAATTGGCGCCAAAGTTGGGGGCGACCACGATAGGGCAGGGCGTGGGCCCAACTGCAGGATTAGGAGGAGGAACCACGAAGGGGATTGTCCTAGTGAGGGGCGCAGTGGAGACATGTCGGGAAATTCGCACACAGTAGCATCCGCACAGTTGCATACAGATGCATCCACACATTTGCATACAGAGGCATCCACACATTTGCATACAGAGGCATCCACACATTTGCATACAAACGCATCCTCACAGTCGCGCATAGAGGCTCCCCCCCGAGGAGGCCTGAACTCGAGGGATCTTTTCCTA